AAACCTTATATAAATTAGTATTTCTTATTACTAATTCTATATTCTTATTATACCCTCCACCACCATCAGTGGTGATAGAGGGTATATATAACTTTGTCATTCCGTGTGTAACACCAAGAAATATTCATCTGAGACCCAACAAAGTATATATATTCTGGGTCCTTATCAAATTCTGAGTCGATTTAGCTATGTCCGTCCGTCTGTCTGTCTGTCTGTGTAAAACACGCTCACGTTAAAACGAAGCAATATAATTTAACCGAATTCACCCAAAATATTCACTATTATCCGGTACAGTTTCGTATTGAAAATGAGCAAAATCGGTTCACATCGGGAAATGTTATGAATCAAAATTTAAAACAACTCCGAAAAAAATAAGCATTTTTTACACATTCTGATATAATTTTCTCGAAAACTATGCAAGATAATTTCATGAAAGTCATCATACATTCGTTTCTACACAAGATATTGATGCCTGCTGAAAATTGCCAGAATCTGTCCATAATTTCATATACATCCCATACAAAAGTACATATTCCCGGAAAATGGGTTTTTTGTTAATAACTTCCGTTAGAATGTTGATATCTTCACAAAATTTTACAAATTGAAATCTTATGTCAATTGAATTCATTCAAAGAAAAAATTTTCTGGCTCGGTCCATAATTGGACATAGCTCCCATACAAGGTTCCCTCCCGAAAATCACTTAAACGCGTATAGCTCATTACTAAATTAAGATATCCATATAAAATTTGGTATAAGTAATACTCATATACACAAAAATGTTACTGTGAAATTTTTTCCCGATCGGTCCATAATTGGTCATAGCTCCCATACAAGGTCCCCTCCCGAAAATCACTTAAACGCGCATAGCTCACTACTAAATTAAGATATCCATATAAAATTTGGTATAAGTATTACTCATATGCACAGAAATGTTACTGTGAAATTTTTTTCCAATCGGTCCATAATTGGTCATAGCTCCCATACAAGGTCCCCTCCCGAAAATCACTTAAACGCGCATACCTCATTACTAAATTAAGATATCCATATAAAATTTGGTATAAGTATTACTCATATGCACAGAAATGTTACTGTGAAATTTTTTCCCGATCGGTCCATAATTGGTCGTAGCTCCGATACAAGGTCCCCTCCCGAAAAACACTTAAACGCGCATAACTCATTACTAAATTAAGATATCCATATAAAATTTGGTATAAGTATTGCCCATATGCATAGAAATATTACTCTGAAAGCTTTTTCCGATCGGTCCATATTTGGTCATAGCTCCCATACAAGGTCCCCTCCCGAAAATCACTTAAACGCGCATAACTCATTACTTAATTAAGATATCCATATAAAATTTGGTATAAGTATTTCCCATATGCATAGAAATATTACTGTGAAAGTTTTTTCCGATCGGTCCATAATTGGTCATAGCTCCCATACAAGGTCCCCTCCCGAAAATCACTTAAACGCGCATAACTCATTACTAAATTAAGATATCCATATAAAATTTGGTATTAGTATTGCCCATATGTATAGAAATATTACTCTGAAAGTTTTTTCCGATCGGTCCATAATTGGTCATAGCTCCCATAAAAGGTCCCCGCCCGAAAATCACTTAAACGCGCATAACTCATTACTAAATTAAGATATCTATATAAAATTTGGTACAAGTATTGCCCATATGCATAAAAATATTACTGTCAGGGATGGAAAATGAGATTTTGTTTCAGTATCAAAAAATATTTCAGAGGGTACTTTTTTGGATCTTAGAGTACTAAAATATTTTTTTTTTGCTGAAAGTTGTTAATTTTATAAATACACCTTCACATATTTAGACATTTTTAAATAATTAACAACAGAAGTAGAAAAGGTATTATATATACCGTAGGGTGATCGATTATTCGACATTTTCCAAAAACCGGTTTTCGAGTAGTTCGAATAGTTGACATTTGAAAAAAACCGGTTGATATTTTTCAAATTCAGAGAAAACGGATTTTTATTATACATAAAAACATCTAGTTTAATTTGAAAAAAAATTATGACCCGAACTGATTTTTTAAAATAAACATTATTTCTTTAATGTAAAAAATTGGGAAGAATCATAATCCTAGTTTATTCTAAAGTCCCTGTTTAGTAAATTTTCATAGGCATTCCAACACTGCTATAATATTTCAGCGCCAAATTAATTATTGTAATTGGAATACAATCTTAAAATTGATAAAATTGTATCCAACAGTTATTCCAATCAATTTTACAAATATGTAAATTTTTTTAATTAATTAGGAAAATCAAAAAAGTTTAACCAAAGGTGCTTTAGAAAAATATACTCTAGTTTCTTTCTCGAATATTCTTGACTCGAATATTTTAAAATTTAGACAGGCTGTATTATTATTTCAAAATTTAATTGAAGTAATCTTTGAATACAAAGCAAATAAAAGTATTCGAAACCGGCTTTTAAAAAGTTAAAAAACCGGGTTATTCGATATTCGAAAACATCAACATTTAGAAAAAACCGACATTGGTAAATAGTTAAACTGAAAAATTTTATTGATAATAGAATAAAGTGTTATATACCATTGTAAAGCTGATGTACATATTAAGTATGTTAGATAAATATAGCTAACAGAATACCTGGGACAAAATAGAGTTTAAAATATTAAGATAAAATACAAAATATAAAGAATTTCGAAAAACAGAAAAAAACATTTCGGTGAAATTTAGGTGAGGTGAGGTTTATAATATAATAATTTCAATTAATTACATTATATATTTCTATGTAAAAATATGAAAAACTTAAAATTTTCCCGAAAAATTACGACATTTGTAATCATTTTGGTGTTGTATACAAATTTGTGTATGTCATTGAAATCGTCTCCCAAGGACCTTTCATATGATACTAAACTTGCATATGGTTTATTTGTCAAAAATATGAAAAAAATAACATAAAAACCCTAAAAAGGACATTTTTATCCTTTGATCCAGCTTACCAAATATTGACGTCAGGACAAAAATTTTGAGAAATGGTATCTTAGAATGAACTAAATTTTCATTTTTGGTGGGAACATCAGCAATTTCCATTTTGGGGCCACCCTAATATACATATGTGTTATTAAATTAAAATTCGATGTACATAGGTGTTCATTTTTTAAAAAATCAATAGTCATATTAAATTCTACACATGAGACCATACATAAAACCATCCATGACATGAAACAGTAATTTGCTTTAAAGTCCAAATAATTTTCACCAAAAAATTTCTCTTATTATCTATGGTTGAATTCTTAATTTCAAAACAGATCGTTTTATATTAGATAGAAATTGAGTCCTTCGAGCTTCTATCATTTGGAAATAATTAGTTTTAAAGTCAAATATTTTTTCAAAATTGAAATTTTTGGTAATTTTTTTCATATAATATTAACAATGGAATTTAATTAGATTAATATTCATATAATGTCAATCAAGATAAAAATTCGAAATGAGCTGCATTGGTTATTTGCAAAACATACTTCTAAAAAGTGGCTTTTAAAACTAGATTTCAAAACATTCTTAGAATTTCAAATTTGAACTTTTAAAGATACTTTGACCCAATTTTCTCATTGTCTGATTATGTTTTATCATAACGATAAATTGACATTTTACATACAAAAATTATTTTAACCGGCAGTATATCCACCTGTTAAACGATAACCGGAGGTTGAGATATTGGCCTGAGAGTATCAAATAAGAATCGTTAGTATCACGGTACTTTTTAACATCAAATAGTATCAAAAAAGTACCATTGTACCAAATTTGCCATCCCTAATTACTGTGATTTTTTCCCGATCGGTCCATATATGGTCATAGCTCTAGGTCCCCTCCAGAAAATCACTTAGATGAACAATATTCATTACCAAATAATAATATAGATACAGAATTTTGAAATTTTGTCTTTATATACATAATTGGTAATAGCCCCCATACAAGGTCCTTTTACGAAAATCTCTTAAACGCACATTACTCATTACCAAATAAAGCTATACTAAATTACGATATAGATACAAAATTTGACTGAAATATAGCTTTTATGCTCAGAAATTTTGCTTAAAGAATTTTTTACGATCGGTCTATAATTGATCTTATCTCCCATACTAGGAACTGCCCCTAAAAGCGCTTTAACCTTATTTAACTATTTGCATTATCAATTTGTGTAGAACAAAATTATATATATGTATGTATTTTCAAAATCCTTAAATCTTTCACACACATGCATACATGCAAATTATTAAATATTGCTAAGCACTATAAAAATATAAAAGAAAATGGCGTTTATAATGTTCAATAAATCTTGGAATTGTAATAGATCTAAGTCTTAAATAGAAAAATCTTGGCATTTTTCTATTTAAGACATGAGAAGACTTATTTGTACAAATATTTGATCAATTAGAAAAGTATTAATATAAAAGTAGCTGGTGGAGGGTATTTAAGATTCGGCTCAGCCGAATATAGCACTCTAACTTGTTAACTATTCCTTTGACGACCGACAGAAATAAAAAGAAAAATGGACGGTGAGAAGAAATTCGATCACACCAGCAAGAAGTTCCGAAATCGTATGGAAGAAGAGAAAGCGAAGGTTCGTCGAACCAGAAAAACGGCAACATATTTCGTATGAGCTCCGCAAAACCCCAAGCAACAGTCCGTACAAAAGAGAAATTGCAGGAAAAGACGACGGAAAATGCTTGTAAGGAAAACCAACCGCCGCTAAAGAATAAACATACCTCATCCAACAAGGGTTAAGATGCTGTGAGAAAGGATAACAAGGATGATGTTATATGCCGGTCGTCCGACGAAGGAGAAAATTAAGATAATGAATGCTTAAACCCCACTGTCGAAGAAAATGTACCACCTACTCCCGGAAACGACGTGGTATACTCGCCTATGTATACGCCACCAAATTGCCATATTGATAATCTGGGTAACGAGGAACAAGAACCGTGGTTCAGTTCGCTTTATGGTGAACCAGAAGTTCCAATGACACTTGGAAGATCAAATAACTACGCATATTATAATTATTGCCACGACCGGAAAACGATGTAGAAATGCCATCTCCTAATGAAATGGAAGAAATCTTTCGTTCTTCATTTGGACACTTCGACGATACACTCCGGCAACCATCACCAACATCGTCATCATCACCAAAATCGTCAACATCATCACCTCCAAGAAAAGAAGAGGCTGGTTCACCATTGACGTAAAAGACGAAAGATGCCATAATTTTTGCGGTCATATGGGTTATCAAAGATCCATTATCTATCGATTCTGGGCCGACCAAGCCCAAAATCGATGCTGATGCAAAAAAAGAAAACCAATATCTTGATTCGCCCAGTTCATCCCAATTGTCGTGGCTAGAAGTTTCACCGAACCCCAGACTGGTCACCACCACTCCAACACCTATGGGACGTTTGCCACAAAGCTCGGCTGATAAATCACCAAGCCTTACGCCCGTGATATCATTGTTTTCAACTCCAATATTGTCACCACTTAATTTGTCAATATTATCTTCAGTGGGGTCTCACACTTCAATAAAATCGCAGACTAGCCTATTATATTTCGCTCCGTCATGCACCCCTAGTCTATCTATAAGACAGCATCAATCACCGTCATCATCATCGTCGTCATCACCTTCATCATCATCGTTGTTATCGTCATCATCACCAACGATGTCATCACCCCGCATCATCAACGCCTAAGCCATCGCCCACAGAAATTTCGGAAATAGAAGATGTGCAGCAGCCAGAAGAAACAAGTGAGAATATCCCCAACCAAAGGATGTCGTCAACAACTACACCAATTCCAGGATGGGACGATATATCACAAATGCCTAGCGAACTACGTGCCAAAATTGACGACATGTGCAGTACCAGAAAAAAAGGTCAACGTGTCAAAATTTTATTCGCTGTCGATCACCACACCTACAATGTAACCATAGCAAAGAGTGGTAACGCAAAAGCAGAGCTGCATAAATAAACAATCTTTTAATTGCTGGAAGGGAGGAACTGTAACGTTAAAAGTCGTTCACCTTCGTGAGAAGGGTATATATAAGTTTGTCATTCCGTTTGTAATTTCCAAAATATAATTTTCCGACCCCATAAAGTATATATATTCTGAATCCTTATAGATAGCGGAGTCGATTAAGCCATGTCGTCTGTCTGTCTGTTGAAATCAGTTTTCTGAGGACCCCAGATATCTTCGGGATTCAAATCTTCAATAATTCTATCAGACATAGTTTCGAGAAATTTCCTATTTAAAATCAGCAAAATCCGTTCATAAACAACGGAGATATAAGCAAAAATCCGAGACAACCTCTGAAAATTTCATAAAAAATAAACAACAACACTGCTTATTCATTGCCTTTGTTTTTTGTTTTTGTTTTTTTATACCCTCCACCACCATCAGTGGTGATAGAGGGTATATATAAGTTTGTCATTCCGTGTGTAACACCAAAAAATATTCATCTTAGACCCAACAAAGTATATATATTCTGGATCCTTATGAAATTCTGAGTCGATTTAGCTATGTCCGTCTGTCCGTCTGTCCGTCTGTCTGTCTGTCTGTCTGGTTAAAACACGCTCACGCTAAAACAAAGCAAATAAAATCAACCAAATACACTGGAGTATTCATTGTTTTCCTAAGCAGTTTGGTATTGAAAATCAGCAAAATCGGTTTACAACGTAAAAAGTTATGAGTAAAAATTTCAGACTACCTCAAAAAAATTAAGTTTTTTTCCCCAATTCTTGAGTAGTTTTCTCAGAAACTACCAAAGATAATTCGACAAATTTTGTCACAGATTATTTTGTCCATCTATAGATTAATTATGTTTAAAATTGTAACAATCGATCCCAAATTTCCCATAGCCCCCATACAAAGGTACATATTCCCGGAAATTAATTTATCGTTAATAACTTCCTCAAATATATCGGAATCAACACAAAATTTTGTACATATTGACTTTATATGAACAGGAATTAAAACTACCGACTTAGATCTGTATCGGTCCACAATTGGTCATAGCTCCCATATAAGGTCCACTTTCGAAAATCACTTAAATGAACATATTTTATTGAAAAATAAAGCTATCGGGATAAAATTCGACATGAATATGTTTTGTATATACATAAATCATTCTACGGAAGTTTTTTCCGGATCGGTCCATAATTGGTCATAGCTCCCATATAAGGTTCACATCCGAAAATCACTTAAACGAGCATAATTCATAGATAAATAAAGCTATCTGGATAAAATTCGACATGAATGTGTTTTGTGTGTATATGAATTACTCTACGAAATTTGTTCCGGATCGGTCCATAATCGGTCATAGCTCCCATATAAGGTCCACATCCGAAAATCACTCAAATGCGCATAATTCATTGATTAATAAAGCTATCAGGGTAGAACCCGAGGTGAATATGTTCTGTATATAGATATAAATCATTCAGTGAAATTTTTTCCGGATCAGTTCACAATTGGTACTAGCTCCCATATAAGGTCCACATCCTAAAATCGCTTAAACAAGCTTAATTTATTGATAAATAAAGCTATCGGGATAAAATTCGATATGAATATGTTTTGTGTGTAAATATTAATTATTTTACGATTTTTTTTTTTCGGATCGGTCCATAATTGGTCATAGCTCACATATAAGGTCCACATCCGAAAATCACTTAAATGCGCATATTTCATTGATAAATGAAGCTATCAGGGTAAAACTCGACGTGAATTTGTTTTGTATATGTAAATCATTCGTGAAAAATTTCCACATCGGTCCATAATTGGTTACATTCCATATAAGGAATTTTTTCAGCATCGGTCTATAACTAGCTCCCATATAAGGTTCACTTCTGAAAACCACATAATACCACATAATTTATTATTAAACTCGACATGAGTATGTTCTGTGTATAGATAAATCATTTTGAATTTTTTTTTTTCGAATTGGTACATTATTGGTCATAGTTCCCATATAAGTTATTGGCAGGATCGGAACATAATAGGTCGAAGAATAATCGGTCGATATCTGAAAATTACTTAATACAAATGTTTCTTGTCCTAATCAAAATTAGTTACATACATACATGCATAAATAAGTTACAAAATGATAAATAGTATCTTAATTACGGAAACAAAACATGTGCCGGGTTTTACAGTTCTCCATAAGGAAAATAAAGTACTTAAGTACTTAGTATGTACTTTAATACTTAAGTAAAATTTATTTCTTTAGTATAAACTATAAATTCGGCCCTATAACATATTTATTTTGGGTTTTAATAAAAAGTAGTTTGCAGGTGGAGGGTATTTAAGATTCGGCAGTGCCGAATATAGCAATCTAACTTGTTGAGTATTTCGTTTCGTATGTTTCATTGCCTTGTGTATATTGTTTTTGTTTTCTTGGTGTATTGAATTTCGTATGTTTGGATGACTGTTGGTTTTACTGCCTTGCGTATTTTTTTTGTGTGTTTATTTCGTTTAGCGTTGTTGTTGTTCATTATGTTTTGCTATTGCTATAATAAAGATATAGTCGGGAAAATGAATTTTTAAATACACTATGGTGAAGGGTATATAAGATTCGGCACAGCCGAATATAGCACTCTTACTTGTTTAAATTTAACGTTTATATGGTTAAGCAATGCCATCTAGGTGTAAGAATCCTACTTAGTTAAGATCGCATACCTTTAAGATACAACAATGTATACTAAGATACCATTATAAGCAACCCTGTACTTGACTGCGAAAATTTAATATAAAAGGAGGCCTAGTTAAGTATTATGAGTCAGTCTTCGTCGAGTTTCGAGTTAGGTAAGACGAGTTAATTGTACGGTGGTTGGACCGCTGGCAAATAATTTATCTTATTAAATGAGCTATTGTGAAGCAATGATTCTGGTGGTTGGACCGCTACGAACCTTTGCTTAAAAATACACTCTATTAGATGAAGTGTGGTTGTTGTGGAGTTTAGAATTCCCAACAACACACTTATCTAACGTGGGGGAGTTACACCGCTAGTGTTACTCTCGTGGTTGGACCGCAAGAGTGCATCTGTTTGTGAGAACTCCATAAAGCAAGGTTGAGGTTTAAGTGAGAAATAAAGTTTATAACGTTGTGCAAAATACGTGTTGTTCTTATTTCTTTCGGTCTACAAAAATATAAATTTTTGTAATGATCCACTGGCACCAGCGAGTATACCCCAGCCAGAGACAACGTTACAATACAAATTTCATAGACATTTAATACGCGAATGTTATTTCATCACAACCAATGAAATTATACAGGAATAACGTTCAAGCTAGGTATTTCGGTTCTTTTTCATCACATACATATTCTTCCAAATTTCGAACGAACATTTTGTTCGAAACAACCATTTTCCTATATTATTATTAAAAACTTTTTGCGGTTAACCATGTTATACATTTGAATAACACTAGTTTAAAAGTTAAAATTTTTTGTTTGCTCACGGATTGAAACATATATTTTTAAAGAAGGCTATGTCCGGTGGTTCCTTGTCAATTTTTATTTTTTACTATGCTTCAATTTTTATACCCTCCACCACCATCAGTGGTGATAGAGGGTATATATAAGTTTGTCATTCCGTGTGTAACACCAAAAAATATTCATCTTAGACCCAACAAAGTATATATATTCTGGATCCTTATGAAATTCTGAGTCGATTTAGCTATGTCCGTCTGTCCGTTTGTCTGTCTGTCTGGTTAAAACACGCTCACGCTAAAACTAAGCAAATAAAATCAACCAAATTCACTGAGAGTATTCATTGTTTTCCTAAGCAGTTTGGTATTGAAAATCAGCAAAATTGGTTCACAACGTAAAAAGTTATGAGTAAAAATTTCAGACTACCTCAAAAAAATTAAGTTTTTTTCCCGAATTCTTGAGTAGTTTTCTCAGAAACTACCAAAGATAATTCGACAAATTTTTTCACAGATTATTTTGTCCATCTATAGATTAATTATGTTTAAAATTGTAACAATCGATCCAAAATTTCCCATAGCCCCCATACAAAGGTACATATTCCCGGAAATTAATTTATCGTTAATAACTTCCTCAAATATATCGGTATCAACACAAAATTTTGTACATATTGACTTTATATGAACAGGAATTAAAACTACTGACTTAGATCTGTATCGGTCCACAATTGGTCATAGCTCCCATATAAGGTCCACTTTCGAAAATCACTTAAATGAAAATATTTTATTGAAAAATAAAGCTATCGGGATAAAATTCGACATGAATATGTTTTGTATATACATAAATCATTCTACGGAATTTTTTTCCGGATCGGTCCATAATTGGTCATAGCTCCCATATAAGGTTCACATCCGAAAATCACTTAAACGAGCATAATTCATAGATAAATAAAGCTATCTGGATAAAATTCGACATGAATGTGTTTTGTGTGTATATGAATTACTCTACGAAATTTGTTCCGGATCGGTCCATAATCGGTCATAGCTCCCATATAAGGTCCACATCCGAAAATCACTCAAATGCGCATAATTCATTGATTAATAAAGATATCAGGGTAGAACCCGAGGTGAATATGTTCTGTATATAGATATAAATCATTCAGTGAAATTTTTTCCGGATCAGTTCACAATTGGTACTAGCTCCCATATAAGGTCCACATCCTAAAATCGCTTAAACAAGCTTAATTCATTGATAAATAAAGCT